CTTGTGGTTCCCCTAGTGTGTCCCAAACTCTTGGGGACGAAGATATGGATTATGAAAATTCTGGTGTTCGTTTTCTAAAGTTGATTTTAAGAATCATAAAGAGGAAAATACTGCTGGAATTGTTGGGGAGAAAGAGGTTAAAGCTCCTTGGGTAAACCTCTTCAAAGATAATAGAAAATTGGAAGAAAACATTAAGTTAAAGCTCTTTGAGCTTCAATCGGAAGAAGTGGTATTGAGTGAGTTGGATGAGGACAATATTGAAGACACTTGGGGTTATGGTCTCGTCAGATATTTCACCAGTAGGTTTCCTAGAAAAGTGGCACTACTCCAATTGTGCTACTCATGGCAGGTTCATTATAAATATTATGTGTACTGGAGTGGTTGGTTGGTGTTCAAATTTGAGATGGATGTGGATAGATTAAGTGTATTGCGTGGGGGTCCATACTTGGTATTTGGGAGACCGTTAATGCTAAAAGTCATGACACATTACTTTGACTTCGTTGACAAAGATGTTAGCACTATGCTGGTTTGGATAAACCGACCGAGATTACCTTTGAAATTTTGGAACACGAATGCTTTGGGTAAAATTGTTTCAAAGGTCAGAATACCCATCTCGACTGATAAGGTAACGGCAGCTAGAGGTCGACTTTCTTATGCAAGAGCTCTAGTCGAAGTTGATGCTTCTATTAAACTTGTGTGGGAAGTAAAGATAAGAATTCCAAACGACACATTGAGGGAACAAGAAATTATTTTTGAACATGAACCAAAATTTTGTGGTTCTTGTAAAGTATTCGGTCACTTCGCTTTGGGTTGCAACAATAAACTTGCGTGGGGTGCAAAAGATAAAGGCAAAAATGTGGTGAAATCAAAACCCCTCATACGGGCTGTACTTTGGAATAAAGGCCAGGCAGGAAATTCAGTTTCAGCCTCCAATTCCCAGCATATTTCGGTCGAGACAACATTATGCTCACTTGAAAAAAGGGGATAACATCCTATGGTCCTAGAAGGCCTTGAAAGGCAGCCTTCAAACTGAAATATTGAGTAGTCTGAACCTGTTGTTCAGGCCGAACAGCTTGGGCAAACTTTGGGCCAGGATGAACCTCCATTCGTTGAGGTTGTGAACAAGAAAAAACAGGGCTGGATCTCAGAAAAATTCTGCACGTGATGGCCCTTCAAAATCTAGGGTAGAATTGTCATTAAACTCTAAGGAGGCAGATTCAAACAAATCTAGGAACGAGAAGCGAAAAGGGAAGGTTGATAAGCAAAGAAAACTGGGATCGAAAGGTGACAAGAAGAAGGGTACATCCCTTGCTTCAACATCATGGAGCTCGCATCTTGGAATATTGGGAGGATGAATTCACCCCTAAAAAAAAAAGGGATTCGGGAATTTATCAAGTAACGTTGCATTGATATTATGAGTATTTTGGAGACGAAGTTGGTTGATCGAAAATTGAAAAGAATTTTGCAAAATAAATTCGACGCACAAGATCAAGTTTCTACGAAATATGTAAAATTTTACACTACTTTGCTGGAAAAAATTGCCGAACTCGGCCTATTGAGATGGAAATTGTTACAACGATCCCTTGGTTTCATTGGAACATGGTAACTCTTTGATTCAGGACATTTCTTATGAGGAGATCAAAGAAGCACTTTTTGATATTGGAGATGATAAGTCTACTGGGCCGGATGGTTATACTTCTTGTTTTTTCAAGAATGCATGAGGGACTATTGGTGATGATTTTGTTAGGGCTATCATGGAGTTTTTCTCTTCGGGTTCCATCATCAAACAAATCAACCACATGATCATTGCTTTGGTGCCTAAATCTGGTCACACTCCGCATGTTCGGGATTATAGGCCTATCTCTTGTTGTAATGTTACTTACAAAGGGATCGCTAAAATTCTTGCATCTAGATTGAGACCTATTTTGGACAATATTGTAGACCATGCACAAGCCTCTTTTGTGGAAGGTAGGGGTATCACGGAAAACATCCATCTTGCCCAAGAACTCATGAGGCAATACAATAGGAAAAGGGTTGCTCCGAGATGCCTCCTAAAAATTAATATTACGAAAGCTTACGATTCGATAAGTTGGGATTTCCTTAAAGATGTTCTTCAATGGTTGCACTTTCCTTTGAGATTTGTAAATTGGGTCATGGAATGTGTCTTTTCTCCAACATATTCAGTAGCTGTATGCATGGTTTCTTCAAAAGAGGGAAAGGCCTCCGGCAAGGTGATTCTCTCTCCCCCTTTTTGTTCGTGCTATGTATTGAATATTTCTCGAGGATGCTTAAAGATGCCAGAATGATAGTGACTTCAATTATCACCCCAAATGTGGCCTCCTTAAGATCACTCATTTAGCTTTTGTGGATGATTTGATGCTCTTTGCTAGGGGAGATATTATGTCGATGAAAATTCTCATGGATTGTCTCTCCAATTTTGGTTTTGTTTCGGGTTTAAGTTTGAATATCCTTAAATCCAGCTTGTATATAGCCGGTGTTCACGGTCAAGCGCTTGAGGATATCCTTCAATTGACTAATGTCCCAAGGGATAGTATGCCATTTCGGTATTTAGGCATTCATCTTGCTTCGAAAAAACTTAAAGTAAGTTGTTATGCTCTACTTCTTGATAAAATTACAATTTATATTGGTGCGTGGAATTGTTCTTCATTATCTTATGCGGGCAATGTGGAACTTATTAGAGCGGTTCTTCAAGGTGTAGAATGTTATTGGCTTTCTATCTTCCCTATTTCGGCTACAATTATATCAAGGATTGTTAGCCTTTGTTGAAAATTCCTTTGGGGGATCTAATAAGCCTTTGGTTGCGTGAAAGGATCTTTGCCTTCCAAAAAATGAAGGGGGCCTTAAATTGAAGGACTTGAAGAGTTAGAATTTAGCGTTACTTGCTATATCTCATTGGGATATACAACATAAAAAAGACACTCTTTGGATTCGGTGGGTTCATCAAGTATATCTTAAAGGGACTTGCATTTGGGAAGTTCTACCTAGGAAAGATCACTCCCCACTCTTAAAAAAATTGGTGGAAATCAGAAATATATGGACATGGAATGTGGTTGCCTCCCAGTTTTTTCCACATGGACTGAATGTTCAATTCGGCCAGCTGGGGAGTATGAACAATTTGCCTTTGTATTCCGGTTCTCCCCTAAGACAAGATGATGTTATGCCACAAAATGGTGATTTTTTGAGCAACTTGATTGGAGATAATGCTGTCCGAATTCAAGTAGTGCTAGACAGATTACAAAGTTGGTCGACTGGGATCAAATTTTGCACTAAATCCACCTACAACTTTTTCAGGCTGAGAGGATCAAAGAAGATTTGGGAAGTCGATGTTTGGAGCTCTTGCATTACTTCGAAACACTCCTTTGTGCTTTGGTTAGGGGTCTTATCTATACTCCTAACTAAAGACAAACTGCATTACTTGGACATTAATCGGAATTGTGCTCTTTGTGAGGAAAAGGCGGAGATGGGCTATCACCTCTTTTTTGAATGTTCTTTATCTTCGATCGTATGGTGGAATATTAGACATTGGCCTGGAATCAAAATATTTATGTCAACAATTGCTATCTTTCTTAAGTGGATCAAAAAAGAGGCTCGAGGGACGTCATGGCGAAGTGAGGCAAAGAGGATTGCTCTTGTGAGCACCGTCTACTACCTTTGGTTAACACGTAATAGGAAGATTTTTGAATACCTCCTGTTGGAAATTTATGCCATCGGGAAAATGGAGATGAAAATTAAGGAATAGAAATTCAAGAAGATGGAAATTAACAAGGAAAACAAACCAATATGGAAGGCTCAAACACGAAAATGATTCGTTGTCCTCAAACGATATTTGCTCCCTCTTGGTATTAATTTTGGTGCTTAAAGGGTCTCGCGGCAAACGGTTTGAAGGATTGATCAAACCTTGATGTGGAGAAACACAAAAGCACAAGCATTTCTCCACCCGAACTTCAGGAACACAGGAGGAATTCTATGAATATGAAGAAAGAAAGTTTTGATTCTTTGATTGTGGAATGTAATATGGATCTCAATGTTTTCCATAATTTTTTCATGTTTTTGTAATGTAATTTCAATGTCTATTTATCACATATTTATAGCCATGAAACATTGGCACACGAAATGGTGCCAAAATGAAATGAAAAGCCGCCAAAATCATAACCGAAAAACTGCCCAACGACTATATTCCTTCTTCTATGCGGCCGCATAGAAGGATCCTATGTGACCGCATAGGTTTATATTCTGGCCTCCGTTTTTTCACTTCATTCCATCTTTATTTCATTCCACACACCAGTTCTTATTATTGTTGAACAAATATACAACACCTCCCACCAAACGTGGATTGCATTGTGAGATAGATCAAGATACACGTATACAAAGTTATGTTCTCCTTGTATCCGAATGTCTTGACCCCTTTCGAATCCTTAGCGTTGGGTCTATGATTTTTTATGTACTTCACTCTTTTTATTTATCTCAGGTATGCTCAGAGTAATTGTATGTAATATTGGATTTGTTTTTTTCGGGAATGCCCAGTGTATTTGTATATGAAACATTTTTAATCAATGATATTTACATTTACTGATAAAAAAATAAAATCACATTTTGCTTTTCAACTCAAGTTGGAGTCCAAAACGTTGAAATAAGACATATTTTCATGATATTTACGAGACAATTTAACCAAGAGACGAATAGATACATGATTGAGTAAAAACAATAGTTTGTACCTTTTTAAACCTAAAGATCAAATTATAAATGAGGAAATTATATTAGGGACTAATATTTCAATTTTATATACTTCCCAAATATGGAGGCTGTTTGGGAGTGATTTTGAGAATTAATTTTTTGATCGTTAGGAGAAAAATGAGGTTCACCTGTGAAAGAAGAAATCATATATAACGGTTGAAATAATGAAATAACAGTCAAAAAATCAATTTTTTTGTTGAAAAAATGGGGCCCAAGTGGCCCATGAGAAGAACCCTTCTCCCCCTTCTAAAATCCTACTTCACTGTATCCTATCCACGGCTCATAAGAACAAAATATGAATTCCATTCTCCTAAAAACCCCACCAGAAATCGGAAAATTGTTGTTGAACCCATTTTCCAGTGGCTCCTCCTCTCTAAATGGGAATTACCGTTTCTTGGTTTCAGAAAATCGCTATAAGTATCCTTCTTCTTCCTTTTCACAACTTTCTTTACAGAAGGTAAGGCTCAGGGGCACCTCAGTAACAGTGACAGCAGCGAAGAAAGAAAGGAGTAAAAGAGAGAGCAACCACAGCTTTGTTCCTAAACCCGATGAAGCCACTGGGCCGTTCCCAGAAGCTGTGCTTCTTAAAAGGGTATTTTTTTCCTTTTTTCTAACACCTTGACCACTACTTTGTTGGTATTTACGATTTTATCTTCAGAAGTACTTAACTTTCATGTATGCTTATGAAATTACGAGAGAGGGTGAAATATATAGTTTAAAATTAGAAATCATTTTGCAAACTTTGGAGGTTAATAGAGAAGTATGGGAATAGTAAGATTTGTATTCAATTAGAAAAATTATATGATAGAGTATCCAGTGAATGCTATGGTGAGTGTTGAGAGAAAGATATGAATTTTTATAAGATATCTAATGATCAAATATACACAATGAAGCAGTCATCAAGATGCTGAAAAGGTAGCTTAAAAATTTTCGTTTTCCATAGACTTGTATCAATATTTTGCCTTGGGTGTTATCCTTTTGCTTTAGCTATAGATTGCTCTACAAGCCGACATAATTTTAGATGATTGAGCCGAGATATAGATAATCTGTAAAGTTGAAGTATGGAGGAGTACTTCGGAATTTATAGGTTTTTGGTTAAGTAGAACTACATTTATTAAGTGGAATGTGCATTTCGTAAAGAAGGAATAAGGATGATATCACTCACAATAGAGGTTCCTGTCATCTTCTAACGTGATTAATTTGGATACCAACTTCTCATAAGGAAGACTTGAAGAGAATATATTGAATAAGGTTATAATGGTTGAATGAAATGGAGCAATGCTACAAGAGTTCTATGTTTTGTGAAATATCTACTCACTTTAAAAGGCAAGTGCCAATGCTTGTTAGATCAACTATACTTTTTCATACTAAATTTTGTCCATAGGCAATTTGTGCATAAGGCAGATAAGAATTTTAAGATGGATGTATGGCCATAGAAGAATGGACGGAATGAGAAATGAATACCCATGTTGACAAGTCGAGGTGATTCAGTTGATGATAAAAAGGGAAAAAAATGCAACCTGAATTGTTGGACATGTACTGAAACTTCTAATAGATAGAGTTGGAGTACATAGTGAGAGTCAAGGTCAAGGTTGATTGATGAGTTCAGAGAAATTCTCAGTCACAAAATATATAATTTCATCGGACCATTCAATAGAAGTCTCAGATTGGATGGTGTGATGAAGAAAGACTCGTGTAGTCAACCCAACGTTAATAGGACTTTTTCAGAACTTATCCAAGAAGGTGCTCTTGGTAAGCATTTTACTGTTGAATATGAGAACAATTAGGAATGGAAGAAGCTCTAACTTTGTGGAAGTATTTCGGACCCTAATCTTTGACTCCAATGTTGAAACGATTTTACGTGAATGTGGAATTTGCCCTGTTTTACATCAAATTTGTGAAAAGGAGATTCTTTTAATTGCCAAAATAATCCTTTTTTCTTGCTGTTTCTTTGGAAGATTTTCTCGTCCAATGCTTCATTTTCTTAATTTGGATTTTTCTAAAAGAGCTAGTTGATTTTTTTCACAGAGAAAACTTGAGGAAGATGGTCAGCTTCTACCAGAGTTTGCTGATGCTGAAGAGCGTACGTGATTGTTTCTTCTTTCCTCTAGAAATACTGGTTAGTCATAGAAAGGGATTCTTATGTGAAGTGATTGAACTCAATGTTGATTTACAGGTGAACTGTTCGAGGCTTTGAATCTTCAGCTTGAAAGTGACTTGAATGTTGATCAATGTAAGAAATGTTCTCGTGTTTCCTACTTTATAATTATAATAAATGAGTTCTCAATGCTCCGGAGATGCTCCTGATGTTTTGAAGTCCCTAAAAATATTGGTGCAGTATAGTATTATATGGATGCTTGCTTGCAGAAAAAGTTGTAGGATTAATGAGCAAGATAACGTTAGTGTCAAATGATCATAAATAAGTAATTACCAAGTGTTGGTTTATAGCTATGATTATGACATCCCCTGTTTTATTTTTCATTGTATTTATGGTTTAATAATCCCAGAATGTTTTATATATTGATGAGGGAAATAAAGTCTATAGATGTAGTAAAAGTATTCTCCTGAATGCCAGTAGAATCATTCTTCTCACTTTGCTTTTGCATGTTTTCACTATGTTAAATAAACAAGATTTGGAATTTGACAAGCACTTTTACTCAATAAATAACTTGGAAGTTGCAGATTTTTCTTTTTCTTGCATCATAGATTAAGGAGATTGTTGTTGATTCGAATAAGATAAACAAGAGGCACTTGGTTCAGTCTCAGTGTGTGAAGAAAATGTTCAATGAAAGTAATCTGAAAAGATTAACTGCCACTTAATTTAGAAGGATCATTGACATTTATCATGATATACTAAACACAGGAAAAAATGTTTTTAATAGACGCTGTTTTTATGTTTACTTATTTAGTTTTACTGATCAGTGAAATAGATTCAGTGAGTTATTGTCTTCATGTTTGCACAGTGCGGCACTATGAAGTGGTTTATCTAATACACGAGAATCACAAGGATGAAGTTGAGCAAGTGAATACAAAAGTTCGAGGTGATCTTTGCTTGCCGTATATCCTCGATTTTCACTTTTTATTAATATAACTTTCAAAATGCTGGTATGAGCCCTTGAATTATTTGCCTCGAGATCATCATCCAAAGATCAAAGAAGTTTTTGGGAGTTTTCCTACGAGTTCTTGAAGTGATAGTTTGTAAATAGTTGCTGTTAATAAATTTCTCAGATCTTCATCATTCCTTGCTTTTGAACCTTCCGGCTCTTGTTATGATATAGATCCCTAAATATGATTTGCCATTCATTATGCACTCTCTGGCCTTTTAAGGAGATGGTTCAGGGTATCAAGTTAGCAAAGATCTTGGGTTCAGAGTCTAGTGACTATCCTCTTTATGAAATTTGTACACGTGTCATGCCTTTGACAAGGATAAATCCATCTTGCATGTGAGGTGACATGTTGAAAATTAAAAATAAATAAATGTTTATCCTCTATAAGATGAGAAGGTTTAACATTGGCCCTCTAAACGATAGAGGTTCTTTACCAAATTTTCTGACTTTGTGAGCACGAGGGGTCAAGGCCATCTCTGATAATCAATTCTTGGAGTTTTTTATTCTTATCCCCGTCCTAGTAGTTGTTACAGTATTCGATGTGTTGGGTGGGGAAGGGCACAAGTATTGATGCCTAGAAGCCACTAAACATTATATATCCATCTTCATATATAACTTATTTCCTTTTGTACGTGGTACTTATCTGTAGAATTTTTGGAGGAGAAGAAAGGCAAGATATGGAGATTCAGCGACTGGGGTATGCGTAGACTGGCATACAAAATACAAAAAGCAAAGAATGCTCACTATATCTTGATGAACTTCGAGTTGGAAGCAAAATGGATTAACGATTTCAAGAGCATGCTTGACAAAGATGAGAGAGTCATTCGACACCTTGTTATAAAGAAGGACAGAGCAGAAACAGAGGATTGCCCCCCTCCTCCCGAGTTTGGTACATTACGTGCTGATATGAATGATGACGAAGATGATGATGATGAAGAGTACGATGATGAAGATTGGGATGATGAGGGAGATGTAGATATTGTCTACGTGGATGATGATGTTGATGATGGAGAAACGAGTTCAGTGAAGGAAAAACGAAAGGCATATAGTGGTTTGAATTAGTTCCCTATTTTTCCAACTGAAAGGCTTTGTAAAATAACAGTTTATTTGTGGAAGAACTAGTTAAAAGAGTAGTAAGTAATGAGCATTTTCCCATGTAAAAGGAAACACTTGCAATTGCGTGGCTTCTCTGTACAAAATTGAATCGGAATTTCATAGAAAATAAACCATTATCCTGGGACAGACTGAAGTTGAGGCCAAAAACAAAATTTGTGCCTCGCTCCAGCAGCCGTCAGTGTTTACACCAGGCAATTGCAATCAAATAAAGGAAAACAGTGCTTTCTGTACCTCCACCGACTGTCCAAAGAAATTCAGGCATCCTTCGGGGCATAGTCCAGTGGTGCAAAGGATCGAAATGAGGTTATTTCCGGCAACGACCACAAAAGCATGATTCCCATTTGTAGGGAATGGTTTTGCTCGTCATTCAACATAATGTCGATATAATTTTCCGTGTCATCTACATACTCCCTCAGCTTCCAAATATTCCAAGGGATAAAAATATCAATACATTTCTTATGAAACTTCTAATTTATACACCAAAGATCCCACTTACGAGAAGAAAAATGTGTTAAATTACCATTTTAAGCTCGTAAAGAAATCAAATTAAGAATGGAATTGTAACATGAACTTTAGCACTATCCATTAAAGATACAAGCTTGACAATTGCACAAATTTATATAAAAAAAATGACAATGAGAATTGAACTAAAGTCTTTTCCCTCACTTTTTGGGTCAATTTCGAATTTATAATTCTTCAATGTTAGGAAATGTCTTTTACATCATCTCAAAATGCACGTGGTGTACTTTTCAAAACATCTTTCGATTCGCATAACTAGTATACGACAAAATCGCATTAACAGGTTTAAAATTGCTACTAATATAAATTCTCATATCGAATTCCTACCAGAAATGTACTTCAAATCAAACTTGTAAAAAAAATAAGAAATAAAAAAAAAATCGATCATCATAATACAAATTATGACTTAAAGTGAATTAAATAATTCTAATTTTGACATCGAGTTAAATAATTATTCTAAAATGTAGAATTTTAATGTGTGGCCCTCAAACGGAATGGTGTCGGTGGGTCGGTGCTCTCGAAGTCCCTTCACGAATCATGAGTGGATGCGTCTGCATTGCAATTTAGAGGAAATGTGAGATTGAAATTTACCCCAAAAAAAAAAAAAAAAAAAAAAAAATGAAAAAAAAAAAAAAAATCACAAAAAATCAAAGCTTGATCAGTTAATTATTTTTCTTTTGAGTGAATTGCAGGTGTCATTTTTTCTTGGGATAGTGACAATAAGCGTGGCTTGGATATACTCAGAGTATCTGGAGCACCGGAAAAATTCCTCATCCAAACCGTGAGTTGGAAAAGTTATCTGGATCTTTGATTATATTAAAACATAAAATGTTGAAGTAATTGAGACAATGTGCGGAAGATGTTCTAAGTGATATGTTATGGTTGCTTTTTGATGCATTTGTCGAATGGCATGAATTTTGGTATTGCAGCTGCTCGAATGGCTTCTGAAATTATATACTATTATTAATATTATTTTATTTTATTTTATTTTTCCTGAGTCTCTGAGTCTATGAGACATATGGATTTTGTTAAATTTAATGAGTGTATTATCTGGTGTGAAAGCTGAGTGGAGCCAAAAGGCCCAAAACAATAGTGACGAACATAATGTTAATGTATAGTTCTACATGTTTTCATCCAATTTTTAAGGCTTTTGTTACATCAATAATGTACTTCAAATCCAAGATTCCCTTTTTGTTCTTTAGGTAATTAAGGAATGATTTATATTGTGCTATAATGATATTCTTTATTCTGAAGGATCGTAAATTTCCCCGTCAAAATATTGTACATTTCAGTGGCAGAAATCCTGATATAAATTTGGTCGAGTTGGGAAAGGAGACAGTCAAAGAAGATGACAGAGCTGTTCTATTGGAAGGAGGTGCTCTTCAGTCGGCATCTCCTAAAGTTAGAAATTCATCTGCAACATCACACATTGTCAGGTTAGCAACAAATGAGGATACAGAAAGTTGTTGTACGTAACTTTGCTTGCTTAAATATACTTATCTTCTCAGGTTCCTTACGTTGGACGAGTCATTCCTACTTGAGAATCGGTTGACTTTGAGGGCCATGTATGTTGACCTGGTTTTAATAATTTAAGACTGTGTTATAAATTATGAATTGTAGCGTATAACTTTCTTTTTATTTCTTTCTCTCTCTCTCTCTCTTTTTCCCTCTTCAATGCAGATCAGAATTTGGTGCCCTTTTGATCTACTTCTACATATGTGATCGCACAAATCTTCTTGGTGAATCGAAAAAGGTTGAATCCTACTATTTTGTTACTTATCTGCTCTCCTGGTACATATTTGGCATTGTATTTGACAAACAGATGGCTTCAAATATAAAATTGTAAAAGATATAGTTATATTTATAAAATTATGAATAGGAAGTTGTGATTGTAAAACATGTGAGATCAACACTTAAACTGGTGGAATATATAAACTTCATAATGTTTTGCTGTTATACAACAAAGACAACGTAAAAAAAAATGTTTGAGGTAGTACACATTGGTCTGATATTTTAGCAATACTCTTATTAGAATAAAGTAGGACTATTCATTTAGCTGTCACGTGTATCTAAAGAAGCAATATTTAATGCAGCAACTGTAGCTTTGTTTCTATTCCTTTCTTATTGGTTTCCATTACGGTGTCTTCCATAATTAGATGTTGACCTGTTGAATATAATAAACCGGGTCCTAATACTGGTACATTTGGAGAAAATGAAAAACTTGAGCTGTGATTCCGGATGGTCAACTGATGTTTCATCAAATCAGTAATAAAATCACATAAGGTGGATGGTGTTTAAACATGTGCTGCTACTGTTTCTAATTTATGAAATGCTACCTATATGAATGTGATGATTGATTTGGTCCTTGTGTTTGCAGAGTTACAATCGGGATCTCTTTTTGTTTCTATACTTCCTTCTCATCATAGTTTCGGCAATTACTTCTTTCAAGATACATAATGACAAGTCGCCATTCTCTGGGAAGACGATAATGTATTTAAATAGGCATCAAACTGAGGAGTGGAAAGGATGGATGCAGGTAATTAAGTTCCCCAAAAAATTCATTTACCTGTTGATTTATGATTGCTACTGAACAGTTTCTGCATGTGGAGTATTGTATTTGTTTTGTGTGCTTATTGTTACAAATTCCTTTCTTGTTCCTTTTTCCTCTGCAGTCAGGTTTGCGCATTAATGTTTTTGTAGATTTCTAAAAGCATACCAATTATCGTACTTAAGTGATGGAAGAAGACTTTGAGTGAACCAGCAGACTTGTCATTTAATCTAAGCATACTATGAGCACTGACAGCCTTGTACCTCCCTTCTCGACTATCTCCTTATACTCTATCCTTAGTATCTTATTTCAGTTCTCAGATGTTACTTCGAGAATTAAGTATTATCGCTATAGAAGCAAATCCTGATCGCTTGTCTTGTGACGTGATCTGTTCCAATGTGCCATTTTGATTAACCTCAAGATACTAGTGATAACTTTGTTTCACTTATAGACACTTCTCCATTCTTGCCTAGAATTATATCACTGACTATTTGGCACCTAAACTTGTTGTGAGATATAGACATGAACAGTTTATCAAATTTTTTGAAGGAATAAGTTGCAAAAGTAATCCCCGATCATCTTGAAAAGGAAGGGCCTCGTTTTTACTTAAGAAGGGTACATAAGGTTGTGGGACATTGTATCTAAGGCACTTTCAGTTTGAGTAATTTGTCTGCTGAAATGAGTTAAGCCACAGTATTAAGAAAACAGTTCCTATTTGACATTTGAGTCGTTCTTTAAAAATATCTTCCAATTATTGAGCACATTGATATTCTGGGTAGTCTGCTGTAGATATTATTCATCTTGTCTATGTCATAATGTTATTTTGCAATCTTCTTCTCTTCTGCAGGTCTTATTTCTTATGTATCATTACTTTGCTGCAACCGAAATCTATAATGCCATTCGAGTTTTTATTGCTGCATATGTGTGGATGACTGGCTTTGGAAACTTCTCATATTATTACATCCGCAAGGATTTCAGCCTTGCTAGGTTTATTCAGGTGCTATTTTGCCATGAGTTTTAGGATAAAATCCTGATTTCTCAAATGAACCTTCCTCCTGACAGATTAACATTTGATTGGGGCAGATGATGTGGCGGCTTAATTTCTTGGTGTTTTTTTGCTGCGTTGTGCTTAATAACAGTTACATGTTATACTACATATGCCCCATGCACACGCTTTTCACTCTCATGGTTTACGGGGCCCTTGGCATTTACAACAAGTACAACGAGCAGGGGGCTGTCATTGCTGGCAAAATCATAGCCTGCTTCTTGGTGGTCATTTTGATTTGGGAGGTGCCTGGGATGTTTGAACTGTTGTGGAGTCCATTCTCTTTCTTGCTTGGTTAGTAACTTCTTCCGTTGCTACTTTCACCCTGTGGCCATCGGATATAAGCATCTCAATTTTATGCGTCATATTTCAGGCTATGCAGATCCTTCAAAAGCAAAACAGCCCCCCTTGCATGAGTGGCATTTCCGCTCAGGCCTTGATCGATACATATGGATAATTGGGATGATATATGCGTACTATCATCCAACGGTAAGATTTCGTTCATACTTGTCTATGATGCACTGATACGGACATGTGTGTCTCACACGATACATGTCGAATACGTTGACTCGTGGTTTTTCAAAAAAATACCGAGACGACACGTCGTTGACGTGTTTATTAAATTTTTTAAAATTCTTAACTTATATAGGCCCTGTTTGACCTACATTATTTCAAAAAAGTATATTTTTAAACAGTGATTTGACATCATTTCAAACACACATTCTTCAATAAAATAATATTACATGCAAATCCAAAACTTTTCCTTATTTTTTAACCACACATTTCCCATCGATACACTATTTAAGAATGCATTCTTATGGAAATAATGTGGCACAAACAAGGGCATAGTATAAATATAGTTTTATACTTATTATTGATTTTTCTTATTGAAATTTTTTATATATGAATACTTATTTGTTATTTACTAATAATTTTAAGTTAAAAATATATAATAGCTACAGTAAAAAGGAAAAATGATTATTATAGAGTGTCCGAATAACGTCGGTATCGACATGTGTCCAACACGGACAAGCTACCCTAATTAGACCGTCCATGGACTCCATGCTACAGAGATACTTGTGTTGTTACCTGTCATTGTTAATACAAGCATAATTTTGTATGTGTACTTCAAACACATCATGGTAGTCTTTGTTATTTCGCTTTTAGATTTCCTTCTTGTTCACACCTCCTGAAGCTGTTCGAATTTATTTATTAGGTAGAGAGATGGATGGAGAAACTGGAGGAAGCTGAACCAAAACGTAGGATATCAATCAAAATGATTGTTGTGATAATTTCATTAACGGTATTACATCAATCTTTCAGAACAATCTTTTATATATCAATCCTGCATCTAATACCAGTGATTTCATGATTTCAGATTGGATATCTATGGCTGGAGTATATATACAAGCTTCCAAAAATTACATACAATAAATATCATCCTTATACATCATGGATTCCCATTACGTATGAACATCCTCTAATTGCTTTGTTAGAATATGGACATTACATACTTCCTGTATCTGCACACTTTCTTTTGACCAGGGTTTTACATTGTACCTTTTTTATTGATCAGTGTATACATAAGCTTGCGAAATGTCACCCAGCATTTCCGTAGCTACACGTTGACACTTTTTGCGTAAGTAGTCTGTGATTGGTAAATTTATTCTCCAAGGAATGACTAGATGTCCCTGACATTTATTCCCTTGATAAATAGATGGCTTGGAAAGATCACTTTGGAAACTTATATCTCGCAGATCCACATATGGTTAAGGTATGCCAAACAAGTTATAAGGTCTTAATTTGCAGTATATTCTTAGGGCTTCAATAAAATCTAAATCTATGGATCCGCCCTTCTCATGGATTTGAGTCCACATCTATTTATTTTTATTTACAAGAATTCTTGCATTCAGCAAAAGACATTACATTTGTAGCATAAATAACGGAAAATATTTATTTTGAGACTCATAATTTTACACTTTTGAATGACAAAATGATTTATCAATACTCGAATAACATGTTTGGCAAACTTTTTTCAATCAGTACAAGCTGTTGACTGTTGATAATATTTGAGATTTTCTTTTGGCACCATGCAATATGGTTTCTAGATTTTAAGTAATGGGAGATTATGCATAATTCTAATGAGATTCAAACTACGAATGCAGGTCTGGTGTGCCAGATGGTCAGCCCAAACTGTTACTTTCTTTGATTCCGAATTACCCTTTGTTAAACTTCATGCTCACTACGTCAATATATGTCGCGGTAGTGTACATATTCTTCTTGTTCAATTAATTATTTTGATAGTGCATTGAAAAGGGCATGAAGATAACTTCTGTTGCGCTCTTACCTTTGTTCTTCATCTTCATAAATACTTGCAGGTGTCTTACCGCCTTTTTGAACTTACAAATAAGTTAAAATCCACATTTTTGCCAACAAAAGACAATAAACGCCTTGGCCACAACTTGGTCGCTGCAGTGGTGATAGCAAGCATTTTATACACATTATCTTTTGTCCTATTAAGAGTACCTCAAATGCTAGTAAGTGTACCATAGTATTTTTTAACGTCATTGTTGGCCATTCATGTTCCCATCGTTCTTTCCTGCACTGTGATATTTTCATGTAGTATTTATGGCATGTTTGTAACTGAGGATTAGATAGCACTCACTGCTTACAGATGTTGCTTTTCAATTACATCAAACAGCTGTTAAAAACATCCACCCATTGTAAGTGAAGTTCAATAATCTTGCAACTTCGTCGTTTTTCTTTGTAAATGCAGGTGTGAAAATTCGATGTGTAGAGGAAAGGACAAGACCTCCATGAAGCATCGTGGAAGATGGATCATCAAATTGAGCTAAGTTACGAACTGTGGATTGGTTACAATAATAGCATAGAAATTTGTATAGAAAACGTCTCGTAATTAAATTTGATCTTTTTCACTTAATATGTCATCGACTATTGGATCACGAGCATGATCGAGGAGTGTTTGTTCACTATTTTTATACCAGTTTAGTGATTGTTGTTCATTAATTTTATACCCTTATATTCAAGAGGTTACTTGTTCTTTCGAAATACATTACTTTTGCTAAACTTATACATTTTTTTATTATTATTTATAAAGTCCCGTTCGATATCAATTGAAATATAAATTTTAAATTAAATCTACCCGTTTAAATAATAAAGGCGAGGATGTTTAAGACTATAAAATTCGTAAGTTGAGATAAAATTTACTAATTCATATATACCTTGAGAAGTGAAGAATCCAATTTGTTTCGTGATTTATTCTTAATCTTTTCCATAGACAAACTTTTCTTCCCTTAAATAATGTCAATTCAGTTTAAAAGGCTTTGATTTGTCATTGAATGTCATGCATACGATCTCAAAATATGTTTTGGTAACATGAAATCTTTATAAATGTTCTATCGAAATATGGAGTATTTAGTACTCCATGTAATTTGTTTGCATTAACTTTTTAAAAAATCAAATGCAATCTTCAAGAAAAATTGACACAATGATTGTGTACACAAAAAATGGATTGAAAAAACTCGATGTTAATAAATAGTAACATACTTTGTTACTATTTGATCACCTACAATGACATGCACTAAAAATGAAAATCTTTCAAAACTATTAAAACGTGGCATGAATCCAAAACTTATCAACTACAAAAAAACAAGGGACAGTAAATACAATTATGTTACGTAACCAGAGTTAGTGATAGAATTTCATTTTCAGATAACACTTGGCAAATTCTCATTGAAAATTGGAATAAAAATAACATAAAAACACTCAATCATGGATTGCCACATCAGTCTGTTATTTCCCTGTCCGTTCAGCATTATTCTAGTAAATAAGCTGCTAAAATGTGTGCACAAAAATGACATAAAAATCATAGACAAGCAATTTGCATGAAATAAGCTCGAACGAAAGCTTCTGTAAATTGCATAAACACGATTCACCCATTTAAAAGCCAAAGATTAATATACGAAATGTGTCTTCTTTGAATTTGCTGATTTGCCATTATTTTCTCTACTCTCTTGTGAAAATTCAGGTGGGCTTTTTTTTTTTTTTTTTTAACAAATTATGGGTGAAAGATTTGTAGTGTAACTTTGGAAGATTGATGCTCATTAGATATTGTTAATAAATGGAATCAGACCTTAAATTTTGGAGTGAATTTAGATTCTCATGGCAGCAAACTATGTTTCAATGAAATTAGAAAAGCACGTATTTTTCAAGTTTTTACTTGAACTTGACAAACAACGTCGGGCCTAATTTCACTTAGAGGACCGTTTGATTTGAAAGGTAGAAAAAGCAAATTAATTCCATGTAAGTTGGAAAATAAAAAATCACAAAAATCATAAGAATTCGATTTTCATGGAATTGGCAAAAAATGTGCGTTAAGTGTACATACTTTGGAATTCAAACTCCATTTTCACTTTCGTATCAAATAGTTAAAGTATATGTGTGGCTATACATGTAATTTAATAATTATAGATATTCCTCACAAAAGCTGAGGACCCACATGATATCCCACACCCTTTTTTATATTTTTTTTATTGCAATGTAATTTCTTTTAAACTTACCAAATTTGTCTTATTTTTTTATTTTGTAAATTTCTAAGTTATATCGAGTTTAAAAGACTTATACTTTGTGAGGCATTTTGATTTTGTACATCATATTGATTAGAGGCATCTACTTTTGACTAAGATAAAATAATTGGCGGTGGCTTACTTATGTACTCATCTTTTCTCATCATTTATCAAAATGAAAAAAATAAAATAAATAACGAAAATCAGAGGAAATGTCTCAACAGTGAAATGCAACTAAGACTAAAAAAATAAAAGTAATATTGTGCAATATAACAGTTAATTTCCAGCTATTGTGAACAATTTCATTGGTATTGGCAGAGAATATTGAAATGCACAAAAGTATTCACATCACTTTACAGTTAGAAAATTTCTTCATTCTGATTCCTTTTCCATGGTTCTACACACATAATTTCTAAATTAACTATTGTATTCTTGAATTTCTTCATTACTTTCTGGCAAAATTAAAGCAACAAGTTTAGAAGTTATGGCTGGAAATAGCATTTGATATTTATGTAATTAGCACTTGATATCGTATTATTTAGAAAATTTATTTATATCGTACGTTATTATTAAAATCAAACAAAGTTAGGTAATGAACTCTACATATCTACTCACAAGTTCAAAGTATGTGTCTTCGATTTGGGTACATGCATGGTGGATAGAAGTCATTTTCTGGCATGCATTTATTAACATTACCTAATTAGTAAACCTAAATTCTCAACATGAAGAATTAAAGTTAATTAATTAATGATTTATATTTATATTTTTTTATTTTTTACTTTCCGTTATCTGTGGAGTGATTAATTATATAATAAGTTTCAACTTATTTTATAAACTATTAATTATAACTATCAAATTAAACTTTACTAGTAAAAATGTGTGAATATTTACTTTACTCCCCATGTTGAAATGTATAGAGAAGGTAAACTCTGTTCCAGGGTCTTAATTATATGGTTTTCTTATGCTCTTCACTAATAAATACACACATTATCTATCTCGAATATATGAGTATATATACAGACACTTGTGCGTGCACATGGACATACAAATATGACTTCGTCCTTACTTACAAGTCATAGACGTGACATAAATATATATACTTATGGGTCATAGATGTGTGTGTACATCAAAGCTCTAGTGCACTACATTATCTGTAAAATGATGTGTAAACTCACTCGTACATAAAAAACACTCTTACGAAAAACGTCAGCCATGACAAATTATCATAATTTTTCTGCGTTGCTAGTAACAAAATCAGCAATGGGTGATTCACGAAACACGTATACGTATTATGCAAATGTCCTAGAAAATATGTCATTTACTAAGGATGGGGAAAAGGTAGAAATTGCAGAATTGTTTCATCAACTATTTTAGGTTCTAGACATAATGTATGGCCTGAAGTAGCACAGTATTCAAAGTGAGTGAGGCTTTAACAAAATTTTGGGCTAAGATTTTAGATCAAAAAGTATGACAGATCCAAGAAGGGACCAGTCCTTTTGCCTCATTTTTGTGCTATAGACTGCAGCAATGTATGAAAGAGGTTGTATAATCTAATAAACAGAAGATATTGTGTGCATGGAACTCTATATATGAGGGTAGAAAATTATATTACTTAGGAAATGGAGTTTATAAAACAAGAAAGTAGAATGCCATTTGAGATCCTCTTGATTAAATAGGGATGGAGCATCAATACCAACTTATTAAACAACCAATTTTGTTCGTGCACCGGTAGATGAAGCTAAGTATGCAACGAGTAGAAGTCATGACAAAAGGTCTCTGAGACAAACACTACGAGCTATATTCTTGCAAATTGCCTTGGCGCCATACAACTTCCAAGCAGAATGCCTATATTAAGGCACAAATTAAATGAATCCTGCATACTTTAGTTTTTCATGCATTCAAGAATTCAGCCCTTGAAGTTACCACAATGAAGAAATTTGAAAACTGCCAGCAAACATGAGAAAACCCTAACCCTAATATGCATACACGTTGCA